GGGGGGATTCCACGCAGGCGCAGAAGCGACGAAGGCAGCCAGGGCAAATTGCAAAGCCAAGAGAGGAGGCGGGGCCATGTTGCAGCTGGGAACGTGGGGGCTATTAAGAACCTAACCAAGAGTGCTCTGGGGTCATTCAGGAATCACACACGGGACCATTATGGAGCCTTTGACTAGAGGGACCAATTCATGAGACATAAACCATACTACGAGTAGGGTAGGGCCTACTTCATTATACAGGGACCAGAGTGGGGGTGATACAAGGCTACATATGGGGCTGTGCATGGACATTATAGTGCCCTATAGGCTATGAGAAGGCCACAAAGGAACCAGGAAACATGTGTCTTACAGCTGCTGTGGCCTCCCCATTGGGTTTTTTAGGCCAAATGTCCACAGCAGTAAATGGTTGAATAAATGGCCCTGCAGTTGCCTTTGGGGATTCAAATCCCAGAGGTGGCCCATTAAGGCTATTTCTTAGCAACACTGTTGTTCTGTTCCCTGTTTATAGGACACCATAGGCACCATTAGCTAATAAACTCATGCTGCCTCCCTTAAAGAGGACACAACCATATCACCTTACCTCTGCCCCCAGCAAATTCTTGGGCTATGTCTACACTGGCAGCTTCTTGCACAAGAACATCTTGCACAAGGGTTCTTGTGCTAGAACTCTTGCACAAGAACACGGCCACACTGTCATGTGCTTTTGCACAAGAGCATCCATGGCAGTGTGGACGCTGTCTTGCTCAAGAAAGCTCTGATGGCCATTTTAGCTATAGGGCTTTCAGGCTTTTTTTTTCCTGCTGGGCGTCCGCACTGCCCTCTTGCGCAAGAGAGCTTACATTTGTTAGAAAAGAGCATAGTTCTTGCACAAGAAGCCCTCTCTTACCACACTTTACTGTAAATCTTCTTGTGTAAGAGCTGGCGAGCAGTGTGGAGGCTCTGCGGAAGGATGGCTGTTCTTGCGCAAAAACCCGCCAGTGTAGACATAACCTTGGAGAGATTGTGCTTCATTTCCTTTCTGGTGCAAATATCATTCTTCAGGCTCTCACTTTGAGCATGACATACTTCTCTTTGCTTCCCTTCCTTGGCCCTCCCTTTTCTCCTGTATCAGTCTAAGCTGCTTCTCTTCCCTTTCAAGGCCCTCCATTGCCAATCCCCATCTGACTCATCTCTTACAGGGCTGCTGGAACAGTTTTTACAAGAAGGTGCTGAGAGTCATTGAACCAAACTGTAAGCCACAAACATAATGGAAACCACTTCAAGCCAAAGAGTGCAGCAGCACCCTGACTTCCAGCACCTATACATTTTCATTTTCAGCCCATGCTGCCAAGCATTAACTGCCTAAAAGGGATGTTACACAAATAAACACATTTTAAATCTATAACCATTGAATTTTCCAGTGGCTACACATTTACATGCAGTGGGCAGGAAGGCGGAAGCCAGTGCTGGGAAACCACTTCAAGCCAAAGAGTGCAGCAGCACCCTGACTTCCAGCACCTATACATTTTCATTTTCAGCCCATGCTGCCAAGCATTAACTGCCTAAAAGGGATGTTACACAAATAAACACATTTTAAATCTATAACCATTGAATTTTCCAGTGGCTACACATTTACATGCAGTGGGCAGGAAGGCGGAAGCCAGTGCTGGCAAGGAGCTGGTTTTTAAGTCAGGTCC